TGGGAATACGCAGCCTGTGACGGGCCGTCGTGCCTGCGACGGTCCGTCCTGCTGCTCCGTCACAGAGTTGAGAGACTCAATTCTCTGAAGAGTCTGTGACGGTCCGTCCTGCTATTCCGTTACGAAGTTCAGAGAGTCGATTTCAGTACTCATTTTTCAGAATTTCTAAGTGTTCTGAAACGAGACCCCTCGACGGTCCGTCGTGCTCATGACGGTCCGTCGTGGGTTCCGTCGTCTCAGCCTGTTTTCCCAGAAATAAAATCTGCTGCTCAAAACGACTAAACCGGTCGTTACAGATCATCAATAGAGACACTAATAACATAAATGCTACTAAACGTATGCTATAAAGCAAGTGAAATGAAAATTATTGGAGTTGCAAATGCGATCTTAGATATAAGAATTTGTGGAACTCCATAATGTTTAGCATTTTCACGGTCTCATTGCATTAAAAAGGTACTTAACTAGTTCAAATATTTGGATGTCAATATTGTCAAATCTCCAATAAATGTGATCTTTGCATTTCAAAAGAGTGAAAACAAAAGTGACTCACAATTGGATTGTGCTAGAGTTTTGGGAAGCATGATGTTATATCATATAGTGTGTGCGATCAGATATAGCATTTGCTATTTTAAACTAAGTCGGTTCACAAGTGATCCCAAATAAATTCATTAGATGACAATAAATAGAGTTATGAAATATTTAAAATAATACTTAAAACTATGTCTTGAATTATAACAATATCTAACAATATTGAAAGATATAGTGATGCAAATTGAATCATCGGACGAATGAAGTAAAATTCACGAGTGGATATGTATTTACTATTGGTAGAGGAGCAGTCTCTTATAAAAATTTCAAAAGAGACATGTATTGCTAGCTCTACAATAATCTTTGAGCTATGTGCTCTAGATAAGGTCGGTGAATAAGTTGAAAGACTCCGGAATTTCTTGATAGATATTCTATTTTGGTCCAAACCATTGGCATTAGTATGCATACATTTTCACAGTCAAGATGCAATAGGCAGGGCATGGAGCATGACGTATAACGAAAAGTCTCGTCATATACGACATAGACATGATACCGTTAGAAAACTACTCTCTAGTGGAATTATCAAAATTGATTATGTAAAGTCAAAGGATAATGTGTCGGATTCACTTACAAAAAGGCCTAACTAGAGAGGAAGTTAAAAGATCATCTAAGGGAATGAATTTACGGCTTAGGAAAAGTCATCATGGCGGTAACTCTATCTAGCAGACTGGATATCCCAAGAGCTAGATTCAAGGAGAAAAAACAAAGTTGTGAATGACGGTTCGGCATTGTCAACAAACTCAATCCATTCTCATGATGAAGACAATGCTCAAGGACAAGGATACAACATTAAGGCTTGTTAATAAAGCTTAATGGTTTTAATGATTTGCTAAGTTTGGCAGAGTTGATCAAATAGTGTATCTACGCGATAACACGGTTAGGAATCACCATGTGAGTGTGAAGTGTAAGCCGTTTCAAAGAAGATGATTGTCAAAAGCCCATCTTTCTATACACTTATAAAACCAGGATGTGTTCATGGCTAAAACAAACACAACCGTAAAAACCATAAAAGGTAAAGGGTTAATTGTGTGATATATGGTTGTATAGGTATACACCAAAGTTCGACGGTTCAAAGATATCGCATCATCCGATTGACCGAGTATATCCGACATATGTTCACTACGGAAAGTCCAAGGAGAAACCTATTTATCTAGATACAATTAATTCTTGCTTGTAAAGTACACATACTTGTCCATTTCATTGTCTTCGAGTCATTCCCCATTCATGCTGGGGATTGTTGGATTTTAAAAAGGTGTGAATGGAAAATGAAGAGTTGTGACTTTTATGAAGAGTTGTGACTTTTATGAAATGTTGCGACTTTTATGAAAAATTGTGACTTTTATGAAAGATGACGATCTTTCTGAAAGATATAGACTTTTCCAAAGGTTTGTGACCTTTCCGGTAAGGCACAATAAACATTTTCGCACTACCCTTTGTTTTCTATAATGAGGGATTTCCTCTCATTTTAATATAGAATTCATGGACTTCTTCTTCAACTACTAAATCTAGTATTCTAAGTGTACTTTATTGCCGTTGAGTGATTCGCTGACACCGGAGTTTTTGGTATCTATACTCTGGTGATTGAGATGATTTTACCCTGGGAGGTCATATTCCAAATCAAACCTCGGATACTAGAGGGGAATAATTTCCTTAAGGGGACACTATGAGTTCAGTGGACTTGATCTTTTTCCTATTAAAAATTTTTCAGATTCTGGTACGTGTTTTACAAATTTTAGATTTGTGAATTAATTTCAGTTCTTCTATTCTTTTGTTCTTCGCTGATTCATTAAACTTGGTAACTTCGTGTTTCTGCAAAGTTTGTTGGAATCAGTAAGATTTTTTAGACATATATTAACAACAATTCTTCTTTAAGAAAAATATTTCGTATATTTTTCTTAAAATTTTGTTTCTGATTCTAGTTTCGCTACTAGTTTTAATTTTCTAGTTGTAAAAATGTTCTTAAACTTTGTTGTATTATAAAGATGTTTAAAATTTTGTTCTATATATTTGAAAATACAAGATGAACAACAAAAATATGATCACATAATTGATGATCTTTTTGTAAAACTATTTATAGGCAAGAATATGGTCACATAATTGATGATCTTTTTGTAAAACTAAAGTATTTTTATATTTTAAAAAAATAAAAATTGGTGCATTATTAATTATTTTTTGGCACCATACTATAATACGTCTTAATAGTTTATTCATCTGAATCAATTTTCACTAAATACAACTTTTTTAAGTAATGCACCTGCACTATAAAAATCCAAAATTCGTCCTGTACGTCATAACAAACAATTGCATGTAAGACAAAAGGGACATGATTAATAATTGAATTGGACATCTAAATCGATAAATTTAGACATTTAATTAATGTTATCATTCTGACTTTATTATTAAAAAATCTCCACGGGGTGACAAAAATATTAAATGAATTAATAGAGAACCGCAAAAATTGGTTAAACAAGTGAGACATTATATGTGGGTCATGTTCTTGGTCGAACAATATGCATAAACTAAGAAGACAAGTAGGGCAAACTATATTTATTTCATGGAAAAGTTAACAATGAATTAAAATTGAACGAAAATGTGTATAAGTTATTGAAAACTAAGTTGATTGTACCAAAAAATTTTGCTAAAATATGGTGATTTAGCTATATTATGAAGAAGATGTAATTCATTTAGAAATCTCACGTTAAGAATTGTGTATGATTATATTGATGTATTGATATATTGATTGTATTGATGAAATATAATATAAGTACATACGCCTTATATATGAGAGAATTGTAGAGTTCTACGTTAAATATATTTAGAATCCTATTATAATACCTATGCTACTATAATAATAATAATAATAATAATAATAATAATAATAATAATGCAATTCTAAATAATATAAATTCTGGTTGTACTATAATTCTAATCTAATCATAGTCGTAATATAATTCTAATCATAATATAATATACTAAATATAATTAGTCTAATCATAATCCAATTGTTAGTTTCCTTCTTCATCAACACTAGTTGTAGACACATCAACCAACTTCGTTGGAGATTAATTATTAGGCTCCTCATGTCACATTTAATTGACACTATTATAATTTAAATTGTTTAACTTTGAATAAGACTTTTTGATTTTTTTATAAAACAAACTATTGTAATATATGTTTAAGGTAAAACTATCTAATTACATGAACGTGCAAAAATGGTAAAAGAGCAAGTTCATATCAGATTTCAAGTCAGATAAATGTGTGCGTTTGCGCATTTTGATTATTAAATATATTCTGAAATACAAATTTATATAAAAAGAGGTGAGCGAGAGAGACAACGTATTCTAAATACATGTGAATTACAGTAAATACATATATCTGGGATATCGAATACATTTTGAAATAAAGATACATAGGAAGAGAGACGAGCAAGAGATCATGTATCTGAACATATCAAGTACATGTTCTGTAGACCAAAACTGACATGAAGAATTATTTTGAATATTCATAAAAGACACATACTTAAATGCTAAATTAGTAAAATTTGTATTGTTTACCCTTTCTTATAATTTATTTGAAGAAAAAAAAAAGGAGATGCAAGTTGAACATGTGACAGAATTTCTCTTAAATATCACTAATTATTAGGATAAAAATAGCCGATTAAATAAGTTAAAGTTGTATAACTAAACAACTAATTATTACTCTAACAGGAGAACATTTGACAAAAAAGACACTTTGAAAACTCAATTGACAAAACTGACAGTAAGGCCCGTTTGAAAAATATTTCTGATAATTGAATTTTGTACAATTGAATGTAATTACGTTAATCTTTTTGTTTTATATTTAGAACTTATGTAATATTTTCAATTTTCATTTGCTTTGGTAGTATTGCTTGAAATTTCTCAATGCAATTCATTTAGTTACACTTGATAGATTATTTTTTTGTTAAATATTTTAATAATTTATGATATTTTATTTATAATATTAATCTTTTTTATCAAACATGCATTTCAATTTTCATAATGTTTTATAGAAATCTTGTACTTTTAGTTTTATGATTAATTAAAGTAAAACATTTGAAAAAACGAATTCAATTATTTTTAATTATTTAATTTGAAAAATATAAATTAATTGCTATTCTTTTGTTCTTTGATATATAAACTTATTTTTGATTCTCAAACTTGACCTTGATTGAGTTTTTGGTCTTCTCTTTTAGCTAAATAGTTGTTCTTTGAGGATCATTACTTGTTCTCAAACTCATCATTAGATCAAGTGTACATGTCCAATTTTTTAGGGCACTCATATGATATATTAAAGGAATTAATGTTTTATTTAAAATATCACTATCATTTTTTTTTATAATTTTAATTGATCAATAAATTATATTTAGATCATTTTTTAATTTGTGTGTGTCATTCTTGAACAAGGGTCATTAATATTTTTTGTGTCGTTATAATTTTATCGGAGGTCCCCCAAAGGGACGACCCTAAAGCACTTTTGTTTGAGCCATACTTCTCTACCTAATTTATTGAATTTTAAATAATTGGACCTTTATTGTTTCCCTTTTACTTTTTATATACTCTAAACACATAGAAATCTTATAGGGTGTGCTTTGTACAAAGGAGAATATTTTCAAAAAATATTTTTAAGTTTTTTATATTTGATTGGGTTAAAAAATTTAAAAAATATTTTATAAATTAATTTATTTTTTCAAATTTAAGAAAATGACTTTTCATAGAAAATATTTTTCAAAACTGTCTTCAAACTTTAGATTGCATTTTTTTTGAAAAAAAAAACTAACTTAAAATTCATTTTTTAAAAATATTTTCAACTTTAACATTTTATTTTTCACCCACCTATGCTCCCCCTCCCCCAAAACAAAAAAAATAAAAATAAAAATAATTAAATATGTTTAGTCTGTCTTAAAAAATTTAAGCCCCAACCCCCCTACGTTTATTTTTAATTTTTAATTTTTACCCTATCTCTCCTCTAATTCCCACCCCAGCCCCAACCCCACGCCAAAAAAGGTTTATTTAAAAATATTTTTAATTTCAAAAATTATTTTTTACTCTCTAATAAAAATAAAAGATAAATCAAATAGTATAATAAATTTTTCAAATAATATTTTCTACTCAATAATCAAACATAAAAAAATAATTAAAAAATCTATTTATTTTCCAAAAAAAAACAAAACATTTTCTTGCTTACCAAACGCAACCGTAGTGTTCTCAGGCTGGCAAAATATATGGTCAAAAAGGGAATGACGTTGCTTCTAATTAAATGTGAGAGATGTCATCTAGACAGAGAATGGTGATTGGTTGCCACGATTTACAATATTTTTCATAAACTAAAATAATACCAATTTAGCATATAGATAGATAGATAAAGTAATGTTGTTGGGATTGTATGATATTTGATCATTTCCAACAAGTTCAAATAGTCAAGTTGCCCTATTTTAAATTTCTTATATATTCAAAAGAGTAGTAATAGCTAATGATGTGTCCTCTCTTTGGTCCTTACACTTTATAATAGAGAAGAATTGAAGGCTTTTAAGGTTCTTGGCTTCTTTTTAATAAATGGTTTGGCAATATTATATTTCATTTGTGGTCTGCAAAATCATTGGTGACACTTGAGTGTATAGATCAATATCATTCCACGTTGCATAGTGGAAAGAAGACGATTATATTTATAATCGCACCTTAGGTTAAAAATTAAAGAATAATTATCACTCCATCATAACTTTTGTTTGATATTTATCGTTATACTTAATTGAAGAGATATGCTATTATTTTGAGTACAAAATGTTCTAAGTCCTAACACTATCATACTTAATATAGCATTAAATTAGTATATATGCATACAAAAATATATTGCAATCGTGCGTAATATTTTATTATTTCACGTAATGCCAATTGGATTTTCCTCTTTTTAGCACTTGTTTCTCTTATGTTTCACCACTACAATAAATGAAATTAGCTGCAATTATTTAGGATAATAATATAATTACTATTTAGCAGTAATAATAAATAAGTATGATATTTATAATTGACATTATGTATAATGTCATTAAAGACGGAATGAAATGACATTAATTAACTCAATTCCCGCTAAATATTAAAGAAATCTATTAAGATATTTCTTTTTGTTGTAATTCTACGATCAATTTTGTATGTAATTTTTTCTGAAAACTTTGATAGAGAATTGTTAAGATCATTTATTTTCGTGCATTTGAATTTAAATACGTTGCAAACACTTTGTTAGAAACCGTACAAAAAAACTACAAGGAATTTGTAGCCACATTTTGTGCTCAACTCTATTGTATGGAGGAGGGGACATATTGAGGTGGAAGCCTGCAAATCTTTTTCTAAGAGATAAAAGGGCACAATATCTTTTTATTAGGTGAAAGGGCCCTATTAGGATAAACACAAAATATCTATTTGCGATTCTAACAATTTAATATCTATATACATTTAATTAGAAATTCTAAGGTGGTTGATCAAGACAAGATTATATAGCAAATAACGGAATGAATTAGAACGTGGTAGAGTTAATATCTTATATGCTCAATAGGACTAATAATCTTTTTCATAAGAAGTTACTCAACTTTTTTTTATAAGCTCAAAAAAGTCATTCAACTATATGAATAATTTACCCAAGAGTTTTTCAATAGAAGGGCCACTCAATCAATTTAATTAAGTGAATCTAAAATAGTGCATGTAAGACAAAAGTAATATGATTAAGGTTTCTAATTGATCAATTGGATATCTAAACCAATAATATCAAACATTTAATTAATCTCATCATTTTGACGGAATTAAACTTATATAATTAGATTAAGATCAATGTATGTGGAGACACTAACACCTCCACACGTCCAAGACTAAGCATTCAAAACATAAATAATATGACATGAGAGGTTTATTGGGTAAACTAATTAATAATTAAGGTGAGTGATCTCACATATCATACTTCTCTAATTTGTTAATTTTTGAACAATATTTTGAACCTTTTTTAGCACTTTCCTTTGATTTCTGTTACATTATATAAATTGTAAAACATGCAAATTAATATTAAGATGATATATATGATGTCTAGTCAGAGAATTGTGTGATTGGTGGACATGAATTGCATGCAATATTTTTATGAACTAAAATAATAGTACAAATGTAATTGAGCATATAGATAGATAGATTTTGATTTAGAGATAAATAGATAAACCAATGATGTTGGGGTTGTATGATATTTTTTAATTTCCAACAAGTTCAACTTGCCAAGTTGCTACATTAAAAAAGTAATAAATAATTATCTTTCCACTATTTAATTATTGCCAACACTTTACAGAGAAGAATTGTGGACTTTTGGGGCTCATGAGCTTGGCTTCTTTCAACAAATTGAAGCTTCTCTTAATAATTTGAAGAAATATAAGCCTGTGGAATTCAAGACACGATAATTACAATTTACCTAAATCGAAAAGAATTTGGTATCACATACTATATATGTTTTGGATACAAATTATCATGAATTTCGTTGGAACATGTCAAAGAATAGGTCCAATAAAGCTAATTGACGAGTTAGAGTCATGTCCTAGACTTTTGAATCCTAAATTATAATGTACGACTAAGTTGTTAGTTGTATCGTGTATGAGGCTATAGTCAACTAGAATAAGGTATTTTATTTATAATAGTAATACTACTCATCAGGGGCAGAGGCAACATATGAACCCTCTTGGTGGAAAATACTACTATGTATATATTTATATATGATTAATATTATTTTTTAGATTTGTATAAAAAATGTTGAACCCCTTTTCACTAGTTCGTGTATTTACTTTTCAGATTTTGAGCCCCCTAATTAAAAATCTTGACTCCGCTACTGCTACTCATGCAAATAATATATATATATATATATATATATATATATATATATATATAGTAGTA